TTCGATTGTGGCTTGATAATTAGCTCTGAAGAAAACGAAATCACCAAAGCAGAACAATAAATCTGTTAGTTCCTTTTTTTCTTAAGCACTCATAATCATCGTGCCAAGAGCCTTCCAATGAGAGATATCACAAACCACCATGCTCTGAGCTGTTAAGAAGCAGGATTTCTTCCGCCAAAACGTTGTCATTTTTATTTTTTACTGTCTAAACTTCGGTTTTGAGTTGTTCCTAACCAGCTTACTTTCCAATAGCTTGACTGAATAAACACCTTCCAGGAAATTTTGAAGTCTCAGAAAGTCGTTTATATCTGATGTTCAACAGTTCGTGATAGGCGTCGATCAAGTTAATGCGTGGAAAAGTTTATTTTTTAAATTCAGACCAGCAGACAATTCTGTCGGTTTAGTCTCAAAAGTTTTTTTCTGTCTTCTCATTGCCAGTAGGGAGAGGGGATAATAATAATGAAAATTCTGACTATACTCAAATATGACAATTTGACGAGCCTAACACAAAAGAACTAAGGTGCCATGATTTCGGAAGCTTTCGTTGAATGGCTCTCTTTTCGAAGCTGTTGAATATTTGAGCCCTAGGAGCAATGATGGATGTGTGTGTGCGGAACCGCCGTCGTTGTCGATGAATTGTCAGGAACTTTATCAGCTAAAGACAAAGGGCCTCATCGACCTCTCGTTTTCCTCCCATATACCTACGCCTATCCTTACTCCTCCCCTCGATTTGCGATTTTTTTCTTCCCTCCCTCCCCCCTCTTTCCTTCTTTCTCATTACATACACATGGCCGGAATCAATTTATCGACGACGCGCTATACGGAGGATTCCACAGTACGGTGGCTCTCCTTTTTCTTCCCATTCAATCAGGAAGGAAAGGGTCAAAAGTAAGAGAAAAAGAGTGTCCCCTTGTCTCGTCGTTTCTTTTCCTTCGCCGTGATAAATTGCGGGAAACGAGAAAAGGAGCGTGATTTTTTCTAGTTCAGAGGTCTTTCTTTCACCCCGTGGACCAATAGAAAACTTGGGGGTGGGCAGGGGCGGAGCGTGCCATACATAACAGAGAAAGAGAGGGAGGAAGCGAAAGAGAAAAAAAAAGGCCCTCTCTATATATTCCCCCCCCTCTTTTCCGAGGGGTGGACACCTGCCTCCTCTTGGAAAAAAAAAGCCCTAGTCTGGGCTGGCGTCTATGGCGGGAGAGCCGTGTTGTGGGCTTCGTTATATCACCGAGATATAGAGCACGCAATTTTATCGGGATGAAAACAAAAAGAAGTTTAGGTCGTCACGGAATCTCCGGGGGACCTCCCATGCGGGCGGACTTCAGTCCTCTATGTAGACCGTATCGCGACACTGATCTCTGTCCACCAGGAAATCTCGATTAAGATAGGTCCTATGTGTATAGACGGAGAGAAGGACAGGGAAAAAAATGAACCTAGATCCCCATTGAGATAGGAGTAGACTCATATTATGGTCATGCTTGCGGGACCCCACCCCGAGAAATAGAGGTCATATTGGATTCTAATTCGGGTTTCCGACCCTCCTCAGCACGAGGCTTCCATCCCGAAAGATTCGAATACTTGGGGTGGAGTGCATAAAACTGACTTTAGCGTAATAAAGCTTTAAACCTCCTTTAACGGAAGGTTAAAGCTCCGTTCCACCCTTGGTGGAACGTCGATTGCCTTTGACTGAGGTTTAACTCGCCCTAGTATGGAGATAATTTGTTGTTCCCCGAAGTTCATATGAAGAAACGTAACGCTTATTTCGCATTTGCTTGAATGTTGATAGGCGGTAAAAATAAAAAATAAAATAAAAAAATGGAAAGCGCAAAAGATTCTCCTTTTTTATGTAATTGAACACGATGGTGTTACTACTGCCCTAAAAAATTAATAGATAATGTGTTTGGAAAGCTTCAGGCCGGACAGGTGAGATTTCAGATAGTTTAGCTTACATTTAAGATGGTATGCCATGTTTTTGTCGAAAAATTTCGGGAAGTTTCCAGCAAACATGATGACATTTTCAGGTACAGGACGGAAACTTTTCAGAGGTTATGTAAATGCACAAAAAAAAATCAAACATGAAAATTTGAAAGGCCTGACCTAGAACCGAGTTGGATACTGGTCTCGAATAGGCCTTCACACAATATTTCGAACATAACTAGATTAAATGACTATATATAATTCGACTGCCCTGATGAGTAAAGAATTCTTGTGGATTTCATCCATGATGAACTGTAATCATTTCAGATAAAGCCAATGGTGAAAAGGACGAAACATGCTTCAGCTCTAATTACGCTCATTTCAAATGTTTGAATTACACTTGAAGATGGACTTGGGGCAGTAAAGTGCTAAGCTTGTATTGAAATCAATTCTCGACACAGACCATACTCGAAACCCGATGTCTTCCTTATTAATACTACCTTGCAATAACAATAGAAATGTCGACTGAATTTTGGAGTTATTTATTTTCTCAATTATTTTTCTGAAGGGAAACAGTGAATGGGACCTAAAAAACGTGCCGCTCTTCGGAATACTTGACAGTTGATAGCACAACGAATTTTTATTTTTTTAATTCTATGTATCCTCTAAATATCCTGAAATTCTTGTCCGTTTTTCTCCAGCCGTTTTACCACATGAGCAATTTCACAAAAAGCAGCTCAAATTTTATTTTTGCGCAAGGAAATTGATTAACGGAGAGTGGTTGGTACGAGTACCGCTTTCGGACTGGAGCTCATTTGTCTGTCAATGAAAATGTCAATGTGAAAGTTCAGCTGGGGGAAGAAATTTTCAAGAATTTCCTAGTAAGAAATTTAAGAAATTGCCAGCCGTTAACATCGATTTATAAGCTGCGAGAAACTTTTTCATCCGAGAGGAAGAGAAAACAAGAAAACTGCGTTTACGTGTAGTAAGCCATTATTTCTCAAGATGATAATCCAGGGGCGCGAAAGTCCCAGCTACAAATATCCAGAGCATAGGGGCTAGTCGATCAGTTCAGGGGATTTTGAAGTGCAGAGGAGTAAAGGCTTTGAAAAGAATTCCTGCTCAGTGTCGTAGATCTGAAACTCAGCGTCGCGATGCGAGCGCAAAAAATGAAATTCGAGTTGCTTATGTAAAATCACTCGCTTGGTAAAATGGATGAGATAAGCGGACAAAAATGTTTGGATTTTTAAAGGATGCATAGAAGTGATTATGAAAATAAAAGAACATGTGTTATCTGCCGTTTCATAAACACCACAAAAGGAGGGTCGCTATTTTTTTTTTTGCCTCACTCGGAATATCTGGAAATAGATCGCTACCTCACAATTGAGATCCGTCACTAGATGGTTTTCTAAACAGATCATACCATGTATTACGCGTTCACGCCGCTTCTACGGCTCTTGCTCGAGGATAAAATATGTAGCTATTCTGGAGTGGAGAATCCTATAAATTGACCTGTGTCCTGGTGAAAATTTCCTCATGTTCATGATCATTTGGTTTTTTTTTTTTTTTTTTTTTTTTTTTCCATGGAACCCCAGGTAGATTTCTGTAATTGGCCTCATTAGTCCCCACAATGATGGTCCTGTCAGGTGTATGGACCTGTCAGAATTTCAGCGTACTTTTCTCGAAAACAGAATTGGCTCTATACTGTCGCCCACCATACTTCTTGATTCCTTGCTTGAGATTTCAATGATGAACATGGTGGAGATCATTGATGAAAATTATTCTGTCTTCTTTTTGTGTGACGTATCACGTATATACTCATCGGACCAATGGACATCCTAGTAACTCTAGCCTGTAAATGTCCCAGAGCTCTGATGCGTCACGAAAGCCATACTCAACGAGACCGCAATAGAAGAAAAGCTTTGAAGAAAGGCAGACCCAAAGGTTGCCAAACTTGAATCTCCGAAACCTAACTTTCATTATTCCCTCATTCTCCATTACAGAAGACTTGACAATGTTTGTTTCCCTAGCACGCGAGCTTTGTCCACCTTCGATCCTAGACTGTATTGCTTAGATACAAAAAATTTTCCCCTTAACGTTATCCTTAAGTACGAAGAAGCCTCTCTTGATCGAACCAGCTCTAGCGTAACATTGAATATGGCTGAAGATGTTATAGAGATAAAAGAAGTCATGGAAGATGAGATTGTGTTATAGGTGCTAGGGTGAACTCCTTCCTGGCAGCTCGTTAAAAGTGACAAGTGCAGATGATCGGGGAGGAAAAGGGGGAGGGGGGGATGACGATGATGACAAGGAACGTGAAAAAAAAAGAAACGGGGAAGACTAAGGAAGAATATGGAAATGAAGAAAACGGGTAGCCCTCCACATCTGGTGCAGGCTTCATACTTTGAGAAAGAGAGAAAATCCTGCCCCCTCAAAAGCAACAGCTGCTTCAACTTCTCTCTTTTTTTTCCCTCGAAAATCGTTCATGTGACGAGGAAGTCGATATACATGACCTATCCCTTCAATATAAATGCCATATGTTGGGAGAAAGTGGGTTAATATGCAAGGACCTACCTGGATGGGTCCATGGAGGCACGGAACACACAAATGAATGTGGAAGATGCCTGCATCATGTAACATAGTTTCACGTCTCAAAGCCCCAAAGGCAATCTGAATCTTGCAGGCCTATAACCCTTTGAATAGAGATTGCCCGGAGTACTGGGAATGCAGCATCATGCTATAGCCCTGACACAATACATTCTTTCTCCCCTCTTTATCATCGTCATCTTCATCATGCCAACCCTTTCCCCCCTCGATGCATGAGCTCTCCCCCCCCCCCCTTCCCTCGTTAATTATAAAAAAATATGAAAGTTTCCATTTTTCCGTTGGTCCTTCTCCTCCCACGTTGCGTTTCAGTCCGTGTGTTGCCAGCAGGAGTGGAAGAGGGACGAGGAGTTAGGGGCAAGGGACCAAGGGGGGCCCAAGGGGGGCCGGCCTTGGAATAGAGATCCTTGATATAATGAGGGGAGGGATCTGGAGAGAAAAAGCTCCCTTTTTTTTTCAAAGCTAGGGTACTTGCCCAGGTAGAGGCTAGTACCCACGCGGTACGTGTACTCCGACGCTGGGCTTTCATTCTGATTCTGTGATTGTGGTCCTCTCGTTTCCGTGTCGTTTCTGTCCGTGTGAATGTGACCGAATGTGTGGGACATCATGATCTCCCTGGATAAGGATAAACTGGAGAGGCTCGTGCAGGTGAGATGGGTACATCCTATCTGTCCATTTCTTCCTTCACCCCCCTCCAACACACGCACACACACACACGTGTGAGCTGATTTTTCTATGAGGGAAGTGGGTTTTCTCTTGATGAGTTGCCTTCCTTTCATGAGAAGGTAAAACAGACATAGCATGAGCATGAATCTCATGAGTCTTTTCCTTCCGTCTCCCTCGTGTGCACCACAGCATGCAAAGTACACGCTGCTTGCGACACAGCGCAGTCATTGCCTCCCATTCCATTTCCATTATCATCTTATCATGGCTGTCGGTCTTTTGTCAGGTGGATAGACCAAATCCCCTCAGAATCAGGACGTGGGCATGATTCCTCAACTGGCTTCAAAAATAGCTGGAGACGAACAGAGCATACAGGTGTTGTCTCCCGCTGGCATGTTTTTTTTTTTTTGCTTCCTCCTTTTATTGTATGAGTTGACCTCTGGAAAAATTCAGGAAATATCTCTGATTGACTTAGACTATCTTAACTTAAAGGGTGAAAGCTACTTTCAGGTATAAGTTAAAGTCTGATTTTCCCCCTGATAAGATTGTTACCAATCCTCGACAGCTATAAAGCATGTCAGCTATGAAGTTTTGAAGAACCGTATGGTTCTTCAAAACCGTATGGAACCGTCATTGGTAGGGTGATGAAGAGTGGGTCTTCACTTGACAAAAAACTGATCAGACTGTATATCCACGAGCAAAATTATGTGTGAAGCCTATATCCTGCCACCTTTTGGAATTCCAGCATCCTTAAGAGTAAGGGAGATCTTGCGAAATACCTTTTACTGAATATTTGTCTTTCAAATTAATTTTTCAAAATGTTACACGCGTAAGAGGAAAACGTATGGCGCTGATTGGTCGCAGAAACAGGGTAGAGTTGACTTCACATGAGCTCCATAGCGACAAAATTGACCCGAAATAGCTCTTGCTCCTCACCAGGTAAAACCTTCAATGACACGATTGGGTTCCCAAATCCCCCTCCAAAAGGTTCACTTCGAAGTTACCTTGGCATGCTTCCTGTTTGATTGCTTCAAAAAATATTTGCGAAAGTTGTACGACAGACAGGAAAGACATTTGATGTAAGGCAGCTAACGATGGAATTTTCCATTTTCTGCTTTAAAGCCAAAAAAAGGGGGGGAGGGGGGAATGCCAAATGATTGGGATTCGGGCAGAGGAAACCTTAATATTTGCCGATTGGGGGCGGGGATTTCCAAAAGTTCCGTCAATCTTGCAAATTTCTCAAGATATCGTCTCGTTAAAGAGCGAAATCATTTCGTCATCGAAACTGTCGAAGATCATTTTAGTGAATATTTATTGCGATGAAAATTCGCAGAAGTCCAGGGAATGACTGGAAGTCTTCGACGCAGACGATGGCCTCTTGTGAGAGGTGGTCGTTCTGAGAACGTGGGTGAATGGAGTTCATGACCAGGATCCATATTCTTCCATGATGACTATTGGGACAGAGGATATGGTACGTGCAGCTGTGTGGAAGGAAGGCCATTCCGAGATATTCCCCGGTGATTAAGACGCATTTCACTCCCGATTAACGATTCCTTGATTGATCCCCCCTCCCCCCCCCTCTCTCTCTCTCTCTCTCTCTGTCTTTCTCTTTTGGCCTGGCCATGCCGCCACATGACGCCACTGCAAAACAAAAAAAGACTTTCCTTCTGTTTCATTCCATCTGCCGATCCTTCTTCACATTAAAAAGTATGACCAGGCTCCATTTCTCCCTCTCTCACATCTCAGTACTTGCACTAAAATTCTTGTCATCTGAATACATTTAAGCGCTACCTGCGGAATCATATAGGAGTTTTCAGGAATTTCGAAAGGAGGGAAGGACTGGGAAATGTCCACGAGAATCTCCCCTTCATTTGATATGATCTTAGCAAGTCCAAATCCATATCGGGATCGGATCGAGGATGATCGTGCACATGTAGAAAGGAGGGGAAAGAGTCCGTTCATTTCTTCATTCATCCATCTTACATCTCTTTCTCATCTCTCTGTCTCTCTTTTTGGGGAGGGAGGATATTATAAGGGAAGATTATCCCGTCCATTAAATATTTGACTCCGTTTTTGCGTGCAGTGTGGGGGGGAGGGAGGGGGGGAGGGGGGGGGGAGGGTTAGGGGTAGATCGGGTTGATATCGGCCAATCGGACAGATATACCTCTCCCTTTATGGAGACATCATCCCTCCCATAACTTCTCCTCAGCTGCCTTGTCTTCCCATTCCTCTGTCACGTATTGGATCTTCAAAAAGGGATAAAGAAAAAAAGCCGTTGCACTGGAGGATTGATTACGGAACGTTGTCACGAGCCGGCTTTCCCCACGTGTCTGGCCTGGTTCCTTCTATTGATCATTATTCAGGTCTGGATTCTGGTTTTTTCTTTTGGGTCGTCGATCTCTACATCCATCCATATTTATTCTGCATTTACCAAATTTTGTACTCGTGCCAATCTAAGAAAAAAGAACCAGCTGTTTCTCGTGCTGGATAGCCAGAGGGTGGTCGGTAGTCGTGTCAGTCGACATGCAAATGAGCTCCCGTTGCTAATCAGTATACCGAGGAGAGACTCTTTTGTTCTTTCACAGCAGGGTTACCCCTCTTCTCTTTTTTTTCTTTCTTTCCTTTTCTTGTCAGTCTTGGTTGATACCGTCGGATCACGCGAGAATTTTCATGGAGGAAAAAAAAAAGTGAAGAAAAACAATGGAGCCCGCCAATTAAATCTCCGTGCTGTTCATCCTTGACTAGGCAAGCAGAAAAGACTGCGGAAAATGATGAAAATGGCCGGGAAACATGCAGGAAAACAATGTTCTGTGCTTGCCTTGCTCAACTGAATAATTTGTGATTGATGATATTGGAGAAGCGCTGAAGGAAGGAATGGAAATGAGAGAAAGAGAATTCTCTCTCTCGGCATGTCTCCCTTCCTTTTCTTCCTGGCATTTTGGATATAGTTCCTTTCGGGTTTTCGTCGTAAGTTCCATTAACCCCCCTTGAGAGGAATCTGGTTTCTCTGCATTATCTAAAAGTGCATCTTCCCATTAACCAGACTCTCTTCTTACTTCCGCTCATCCGCTCCCTTCCCGATTCCCGATTTCCTCATAATAAACTCTAAAAGTCGTTATGTTCAAGGATTTCTACTCTTCCTGTGGCGTGTTGAGCTCTGGCATTCGGTCAAATCCTGACGCTCGTATCCCAATCAATCAATATATATTGATTTGGCTCGATGCTCCAAATCTTGAACCTAGGTGTAGCATCTCAATCGTTTCGAATCAAATCCAGATTCAAATCCTATTCCTGACGAACACGGGATGAAAACTCATCGCATGGATGGAGAATGCCCAACCCTTTCAATAAAGTTGTGTATAGAGGAAAAAAAAAGTAGCATGATAAAAAATAATCCGAAGATTCCAAAGATTTGACTTGAGTTTTAATCGAAAACAAATACAAATAATCTATGGATGCAAAGATAGTGGTTAATTTCCGATGTAATAATATTGATCAAATCCGATATCTCGATAAGTTGCTAACCACCAGTCGATAACGCCTATATTTCACCTGCCGATATTCAATATTGATAGCCGACATTGACGGGACACCGAAAATTCGAGATTGGAATATGAATTAGAGATTAATAATTACTTTCCATCAGGCTGGTGAGTCATCCAGCCAGATTTCATAAAATGATTCCTGGATAGAGAGATTATTGAATTTGTAGAGTATAAGTCAAGTATTGTGAACTGATTAGCCAATATCTTAATCCAGAGTCCGATTAACGACGCATGTTAAAACTAATCAATATCTCATTCCTGAAAATCAAAATCTCTGAAAGCTGAATCAGTTAATATCAGGTTTTACCTGATGATCCATCCGATATGAAGCGCTAATCGATCTGATGTTACAATATCGCTAAATAAAAAAGTCATCGATCGTCGAATCGCATGTGCTGAATCGCAATTCTTTACCGAAATAGGATATATTTCGATTTGGGCTTCACCAATCGCTGTTCTGTTTAGTTAATACATATATTTTCCATCGAAACTGATTGATCGATGACCTCTGCAGGTCAACTGGGACAATGTTTCGAGGTGAATAAGGTCATTGGAATTAATCATCGCCTGCGTGTATATTGTCTTCCTGGATGCCAATCAATGCGGAGATTGATTGACCTCTGCATGAAGTCACATTTCCTTCCCGTCATTGTCTTTTGGATAAATGACTTCTCTCTGAACAAACGGAAGGAATCCATTCTTCCCATTCCTCAACATACAACTAGGGTCTTTCACTGTGTCATCATAACTGACTCCATGCAAATAAGAGAGCATCCCAGAGGAACGGGAATCACAAAAGGCCTGCTCCATCTTGAGAATATAGATATATATGTAATAATGATCGTAATGATGATAATAGTGAAGGTAGTAATTTGAAAGAAGGTGGAGAGCCTGCCTGGGAAAGAGAATGGAGGTCTTGGAAACAGAGAGAGAGAGAGATGTGATCTTTTGTGAGAGAGAGAGAGCAAAGGGCTTTTCGTCTTTCTCTCTGATTTCCCTCGAGGTTTCCATATTCCCCCCCCTCATGGGTCGGGCAAGTATGGGACAGGAGAGGGGGGAAAAACTCCAGCACTTTTAATCGTATAACTTTTAACTCTTCCATATTCGATAAGGCCGGCCGCTCCCTCTATCGCATCAAAAAAGATTACGTGGAAATATGTATGATACAAATGCACAAAATGGGATCCCCAGCAACTTTGAGCCACTTTGGTGAATTTACATTTTTGCATCTCTTGGAATGGAGTCTGACCGAAGAACAAACCTCTCGAAAACCCTTTTGCTACCCTCCGTCCTCGACTTTATCTCCGACAGCTAGCACGAGGGAAGCTCCTTTTCAATGTTTCCTTCTCATTTCATGAAGGCTGAAAATAATTGATGGAAAGAAAGATGGCAGCTCCTCGTTTCTCTCATCTTTGCACTCGATCGTAGAATGGCCGAACG